TTCTTTCTTCTTCTTTCTTCTTCTTCTTCTTCCAGGGATAGAACCCAGGGGCACTTAACTGATGATCCACATACCCAGCCCTTGTTATGTTTTATTTTCAGGGAGGATTTCACTAAGTTGCTGTGGATGGCTTTGAACTCACAAGGCTCCTGCCTCAGCCTCTTAAACTGCTGGAATTAAAGGCATGCACCATGGTGCTGAGATGTAGATCTGTCCTATTTTTTTTTCACCTAATTATATCCTTTATTTTGCATAGATTATGAACTCCTAAAAATTATTATTTAAATTATTATTAAAATTCACCTTCGCATTTCTCATAGCACCAACTTGATGTTCAACTGGTAGTTAAACAGCTATAATATTTATTTATTTCATTAAAAAAAGAAATGTGTTGCTTAGGCTACACTTGCTAAAGTCTCCATATAGCTAAAATTCTGATTCTAAAAAATTCTTAAATAATTTTTTTAATGATTTTTTAAAAGCTGGACTAGAAGGATGCTTGGTATTATGTAATGTGGAAAGCCATAAATGGATGCCAAGTTTAAACATTTGTCTTATTTCTCAATGGCAAAAGCAAACTGCTATTTTATATTCATCTTACATTTACTAGAAATGTTCTACATAAATCTGTTAAAGTGATTCAGTTTTGGTAGTTAAAGAACACTGTTATTTTGTGTTCTATTCAGAGGGAAGACAATTATTTAAAAGAATTAGGTATTTTTAAGTGCTTTATAAACCACATGCCATACTGCTGGTCATTTGATAACTGATGATAAATATCATTGAAAAATCTTCACAATTGGATTATTCTATCCAAACCAATTCTCTGTAGAAAATAATACCAAACAATAACACCATTAAATATGATGGAATTCTTTCTTAGTGCGCCTATTCAGGAATGGTATTTTCGTTCTTTACAATTGAATATAGCAGAAATTGATTGAATTTTTCTCAATGCTTACAGTGCAACAGCTCAGAAATAATTTGCTAAAGGTCTACTGTGGCTCTTAAGAAGGCATTTTATTTAACAATAAATGTGTAAACTTGATGTTATTCTGTATGTTTTCTGTGGCTTTAAACTATGCCAATAGGAAAACTGGGAGAGAGGGAAATGATTTTAAAAAAAATACTACATGAGATTTTCAACCTTGTAAGTTAAATATTTTGTTCTTGAGTTAGCCAGTGAAACTTTTTACCCTTACACTATCCGAGCAATTAGTTTATTTTCCATTTCATATTTCTTATGAATTATCCCAATCTATTTGATTTAAGAAAAATTATATTGGCTAAAAATTGTCCTTTTCAAGATTCCTACCCCCCAGTATCTCAAAATATTAGCTTATTTAGAAGAGGAATCTTTCAACAGTTCATTAAATTAAAATGAATTCATTAGGATGACTCCTAATCCAATATGAGCAGCATCCCTATAAAGAAAGGAAATTCAGGAGCAGAGAAAGACCATGTGGATAATCAGGAAGCAGGACGCTGTCTAGACACCATGGAGAGAGCTGTGGAGCAGACATACCCTCAGGACTCTCAGAAGGAGCAAATCCTGCCATCATTGCCGTTGGCTTTTCAGCATCCAGAACCAGATTTCTAGGTTTAGGTCACCTAGATTTTTATACTCTGTTATGACAATCATAGACAGCTAATTTAGAAGGTAAAGCAATTTTGAATAATTTTTTAAAAATTAACATTGATGTACGAATGGCAGAAATCTAAGTGAAAGGGCTAATGTCTAAAACATAAAGGAAAAAGAGTGTGGCAAAAAGTATCTCTGGAGTTGAGTTGGAAGATGTTGATAAGGAGTAGATTATCAAATAGGAAAAAGGAAGACCAAGTAAGACAGAGAATAAAAAATATAGGGACATTAGGGAAAATGAGATATTGAAATTGAACTTAAAATGAATAGCATTTTTTTTTTTTGGCTCATATGAGAATATAACGATGCTTAGGTTGAAGAGAAAGCAAGAATGTGATTGTGGGCACACAGTGTGAGGGAGTATTGAGTTGGAAAGCACAGAGCAGAAGTAAGGTTGGAGAAGATGGAGAAGGTAGATAAGCCAGGGGATTAGAAATGTGCCAAACTACTTACACTTAATTTTGAAGGCAGCAGGAACACCTCAACAATGTTGATTGAATTCACTAAATCTGGTATTAAGGAACATGATTCCATTGGCACTTTGGGCAGAGCTGTAATGAAGGCGATACAAACTGCAGATATGTTCCTGGATTCTTATCTTTCGAAGTATAGAATCTATGAAATGGAATATTTTTTACTTATAAAGTTTACTCACCAGCCTTTTTTAAAAAAATGTTTTGAATGTCAAAAATATGAATGAACCTCAGTATGCCATGTGTTCCTTGATATATGGGCTTTGTCTAGCTAGGGATGGAGAAAGAAGGAAAAACACATTACATTCCTCAGCACTGTTTAACTTTGTATGGAGCTTGAATTCTTTGGATGGAAACAGATAAACACAAAGAGACTGATGAAGACATAAAGATCTTTTGGATGTGAGTAGTGGCTTTTAGTGTGCATTGTTGTCTTCTGAAAGACATGCTAAGAAAAAATAAATCAATAAATTAAAACAACAACCAAAGTTACTCTGTCACTCATTGCTTAGCCTGAGCTTCTCATTCAGGTGGCCTGAGGTGGGAATCTGGAGACCCTGAGGTTTTTTTCTTTTCCTTTCCTCCTTCCCTTCCTCCTCCTCCTCCTCCTCCTCCCCCTCACTCTCCTCCTCCCCTCCCTCTCCCCCTCCTCCTCCTCCTCCTCCTCCTCCTCCTCCTCCTTCTTTTTCTTTTTTTTTTTGGTTAAACAAATGGGGATTTATTTTGCTGAGGAAGGTTAAGTCTGGAAGTGAGTGATGACTAGCTGGTGGGATTGAAAATTGGTGCAAACACTAAGGAAAGTAGTATGGAATTCCCTTAGGAATCCTTAGGAATCCTGGATTAGAGAAATGGAATTAAGAATGGAGGGTGAAGTGGGTGAGAACTGGTTATTTCTAAAGAATTAAATTGAAATGCAATTTCTTAATATAGTGGTTTATAAATCAACAAGCAATAATGGTTCAGCAGCTCAATGAGGTAAAGCCTCTGAGTTGGTGTCTGTGATTTTTTATTTTTAGATATTAGATATTAATGACAGTAGTGTGTACTTTGACATATCTTGCACACCTGGAGCATAACTCATTCCAATTAGAATCCCATTCTTGTGGTTGTACGAGATGGGGAACTTTCACTGATCCTGTATTCATGTACCAACATAGGGAAGTTCTATCCAATTTATTCTACTATCTTTCCTATACCCACCCCCCTTCTCTTCATTCTCCTTTGCCTAATCCAATGAACTTCTATTCTCCCCCTACCCCTTTGTGTGTTAGCATCTGCATATCAGAGAGAATATTCAACCTTCGGTTTTGTGGGATTGATTTATTTCACTTAGCATGATAGTCTCCATTTCCATCCATTTACTGGCAAATGCCATAATTTTATTCTTCTTTATAATTGAGTTATAAACAAATGTCTTTCAACAGATGAATGGATTAAGAAAATATAGTATATATACTATATTATATATACTATATAATATATATATATTTTTTCTTAATCCATTCATCTGTTGAAAGACATCTAGTTTAGCTCCTAGTTTAGCTGTTGTGAATTGAGCTGCTGTCAACATTGATGTGACTGTGATACTGTAGTATGCTGTTTCAAAGTCCTTTGGGTAAAAACCTAGGAGTCGGGTAGCTGGGTCAAATAGTGGTTCCACTCCAAGTTTCCTGAGGAATGTCCATACTGCTTTCCATAGTATTGCACTAACTGCAGTCCCACCAGCCATGTGTAAGTGAACATTTACCCCCACATCCTCACCAACTGTTATAGTTACTTGTATTCTTGATACTTACCATTCTGACTGGAGTAAGTTGGAATTTCAGTGTAGTTGTAATGTGCATTTCTCTAATTGCTAGAGTTGTTGAACATTTTGTTCATATATTTTTTGGCTATTTTCCCTTCTTCTGTGAAGTGCCTGTTTAGTTCTTTTTCCCATACATAACTGGTTTTTTATGGGGGGGGTTATTGGTGTTCAATATTTTGAGTTCTTTGTATGTCCTAAGACTCTGCAGTTCTAACATGCACCAGGTCATGCAGTTGCTACTGGTCCCAGACAGCACTTAGAAAATTCTGGGTTACAGAAATGGGACGGCTGAGTGAGGTGCAGTGGTGTACTCCTGTAATTCCAGGAGCTCTGGAGGCTGAGGCCAGAGGATCATGAGTTCAAACCCAGCCTCAGCAAAAATGAAGCACTAAGCAATGGACTCTACTCACCACAAGTTTAGAAATTTTTATTTCCTTCTTAATGTTTCTTGTTAATCACTCCAGCTTTCTCTTTCTTTACTTTCTGTCTATGTTACTTCCCCCTTCCTCTTCCTTATGAAGTTCTCACATCCAGACCTCTTTTTTAAAATCAATTTTCTGAATTTATAATAACCAAAAGAAAATGCCTGAAAAAACAACAAGTCTATAAGACACAAAATTTTGTATAAATGCACATTTCCTACTCTGTGTTTCAGAAAAGAAAATTGGCATATTATTCATACCTACTTTGAACTTAGTAATGATTACATTAGTTAATATGGATAAGCATTCTTAGTGATTACTCTCATTAGCTTAAAAGATGCATACTTCTAAATGTGTTTTTAAGAAATTGGTATGTAATTAGAAACACTTTATTTCAATCAAGGAAAATTATGTCTTCATGTATTAGAATAACAATGCAGATTCAGGTACATATTTAACATCGATTATTAGGTATTACTTTATTTCCTGGGTACCTAGAAGTTCACTATTTTATAAACTTGTGAAGATACTCACTCACAGGTGGTTAGAAAGTTCTAGCAATTTTCACTGCACTGTATTTGATTTATGTGATTTTAAAGGGACGTATTGCACTGTTCACTGGTAGTATAAAGTACAAGAAGACACTCTATTTCCAGCGAATTTCTGTCCTAAATTATAGAGAAAAAAATAATTAACAACTTAAAAATTGCCTATGTTAGGAATTTACAAAGTAATGCTACAAATTCTATGTGTTTATTCTTCTATAATATAATCTCTTGAAGGGGAATCCTTTTTGAAAAAAAAATCATATATTATTTATGATTTTTTAAAAATGTGTTGAATTTGAATAACTTCAAATCAACAATTAAAAAAAAATCCATATCCTACTTGCATTGTATTTCCAGGATAGTTCTAATGTGTCCTTGCTTGTTCCATATTAATGCTTGATGGAAACATAATACCATTTCTGAGCATGCTGAGCCAATTGCAATTCGATTGAGTTCTATTAGTCATAATGATCCATATGTTCTTCAAACAGGTAACCAAAAATGAAACCTAAAGAAAACGTTATAAAATCTGTGTCTTTTCTGAAAAGAAATTGAAGGAAGCAAGAAAATATAGATGCCTACATTAGATGCATAGTTCTTTCCCTGAAATTTTTACATATGTGTGCTAAAATATTTGTCTGTTTGAACTACCTGCATTATCTGATATCAAACAGCAGGAAAGCAGACTTTTCCTTGTCTTCATGTTTGATGCTTGAGATGCATGGGAACATGAATAACTACAGGTGTGGCCAGTTTCCAGTTATTACTTCTAAGCCACCACAGACAGATGTAATTTGTGCTGTGAAAAGATAGCTGATTAAATCGGAAACACCTGTGGCTACCTAATGGATAAACTGGTTAAATTGTGTTTTAGCATTTCTTAAGTAGGATTTATTTTTTTTTAAATTTGTTGATTTGAAGTTATTCAAATTCAACACTTTTTTTTTAAAAAAAAGTATGCTTGCTATTGATGGCAAATTCATTCAAATCTATTTTATTCACTATAATTTATTATCTTTAGGATAGAAATGATGCATTGGGAAATTTAACAGGAATTTATAGTTATTATAGATCCACTGGTGAGGTGTAATTTTGAATAAGAAAATACAACATTATAGGGTCATTTGGAAACTTTTACTATCAAATAATATTTGGGTTCATGTGGATGCAATTATTAGATTTTGGAAAACAAAGAAGGGAACAAATAATGATATAAGTGTTAGTGAATGATCCTTCATACCATTTAGATTTATAACTAAAAATATATATACTGAAGGACTGGGGAAGAAGGTTCTAATGGAGAATCCATCCCCAGCACTCTCTGTGCGTCAGTTTCTAACACTTTTTGTCTCTTATGAACTTTGCTCATTAGATTTAGGGTTCACCCTGAACTACATTAATCTCATCCTGGGACCTTTAACTTCATCTTCAAAGACCATTATTTCAAATAATTCTTCATCCTTCAGGGGTTTATAACAAGTCATGGCAAAAAGGGACATTGCAAATTTCAGTAAATTAAGGCTCTTGCAGTGGGTGAGATTGACCCAGATTTTGTGAGTTTTATGAGTGGGTAAAACCCAGGGGTCAGAAAAGAAGGTGTGAAAGTGGAAGCAAATGGTAGGAGGGAGGAGAGGAGAAGGTGCAGGATCAACTAGAGCCTGCCACACTGCTGGCTTTGAACCTCGAAGGAGCATCTTTAGAAGCTGGCAAACAAGGAAACTGATGGAACATATTCTTATGACACTTGATTTTAGGACCCTTGACCTGCCTGACTGTAAACTAACACATTGGTGTGATTATAGTCCTCTACATTTGTGGTAATTTGTTACCTGCTACAACAGAAAAAAAATACGCATCCTTTCACAAAGCCACATATTCAAGAAATATCTATATCCTACCTTCCTATAGAAAGAGTTCTTATTAAGATTCATGTGTAGAAGCTACAGGGATGATAATTTGTTTAAAAATGATTAAAAATTAGTGACTGAACACAAATTAGTGACAAATCATTTAAAAATGATTACAAATTAGTAATATCATTACTGCTAATTATTATTAATAGTATATTTTCATAATTTATATTTGTTTCTGATACAAAATAAGTGCAGAACTATGAACTATAAAACATTTTAAATGCTTACTAAGGACAAACTTCATGTGAAGAAAGCATCCTATCTTCACTTAATAGTTACTGCAGAACACCTGATGAATTGTCTCTGGATAGCACTAATGTTTCATCAGATTATGGAGCTAACTTAATACTATTTTTTCTGTTTACCTCCCTGTTATTTTTTAATGCAATGAAACTTTGCAACTAGAAAAAATCCATTAGCATTTCTAATATCGATTTTTGTTAAAAAATATTCAGTGTATCTGAGTAATGCCATTGTAGCTAGCAACAATTATAGAAAGTTTATAGCTAATTCAAAAAAAAAAGAAAAAAGAAAGAAAGAAAGAAAAGGAAAAAGAAAAGAAAGAAAATACTCTTTCAAAATTTACTGCAATTGTTTGCTTTCTGAAAATGAGCACTAAAGCATTTGCATAACATCTGCAGTGCTTGGAGGGCTGAATCACTGGAGCAATTAGCTCTGTGTTCTATAATACATGCTGCAGCTCAAGCAATGCAGTCGTTCAGCTAACTTCATATTTCGTTAGAAGAGATAAGGCACTTTATTTGCCCTTTACTATTAGTGCTTCCTTAAAAAAGTGATCATGGTAAATGTGTAAAGATGTTGTTTTCAAGACAGCTCTAGGAAACATTTTTGAAGAAAATAAATTCGAAGTGATGTTCATTTAGTCTTTCTAATATGCGTTTGTTTACATCTAACTTATTCACTGGAGTACTACAGATTTTACACACCCATTATTTATGTTCTACATAGATGCAATTCTATTTCTGTAAATTACACAAAGTAATTTATAATAATCATATGTTGGAGTAACTATGGTTTTGTAGAGTAGATGTTCAGATTGATATGTCTCAAATTCCACACAAGCATTTGAATTGGCATTTCTATTTTTAAGAGAATATGTTATGACTAGAGTAATCATGTCTTGTTTTGCTTGGGAATAATCATAACATCGACAAAGTTGCTTTATTAGTTGCCAATATGTTTAGGTTTACAATTTTATTTTATTTCTATCATTCTATCACATTAAATTTTGTATTAAAATTTCTCTGGCAGCATGTATTGTACTTTAACTCTAGATACATAATCACTATGAAGCTATATATAATAGGGAAACCTTAATCATTCTCCTAAAATATAGATGGACTTTAACAAGTTTTGCTATATTAGAAACAGTCATCTCACAGCCTACCATTGTAACAAACTATTCTGGGGATTTCCTTCAGAATGCCAACTTAATATTATACAAAGGTCACAAAATATAGTTCTATGTAGAGTTATGCTTGCCAGAGGCAAGGAAATTTCACCAGGTAACAGAATAGAGAAGGCACCTTGGTAGTTTCTCCAGTGGAGGAGCAGGCAGGTGGTCCTCCGTGGGTGGGAAGGGGCAGGACATGTGGAAGTGATAGCTGGGCTTTAAAACACATTCCAGAGAGAAGAAAAAAGACAAGCATTCCAGGTTGCCAGGCAGGAAGTTAGAATTGAAATCTTTCCCCAAACATGGAACCTTGGGAGGACTCTATATCCAATGAAGACAAATCCAGCACATTCATCTACCTGGGAAAAGTATTCTTTCTTGAGAAAATTGTGGGTCAGTGACCAAAGTGAGTAAAATAAATCACATTCCCTTGAGAAGCTAAAACTACACTCACTCCCTCTGTTATGGATTACATAGGAGGAGTCCCCCAAAACGCTCATGTGTGAGACAAAGCGAGCAAGTCTAGAGGTGAAATGGATCATGAGAGCCTTAACATAATCAGTGCATTGATCCACTCAAATAGATTAACAGGTAACTGTAGGCAGGTCCTGTGTGGCTGGAGGAGGCAGGTCATAGGGGTGTGTTTTGAGGATAATGTTTTGCTCTTGTTGAGAGGAGTGCACCCTTGCCCCTCTCCCTCCTCTCTCTCTCTCTCTCTCTCTCTCTCTCTCTCTCTCTCTCTCTCTCTCTCTTTCTCTCTCTCTCCTTCCTGGATTGCCATGCCCTCACATGATTTCCTCAGCCACACTCTTCCATCGAGATGTTCTGCCTTACCTTGGACCCAGAGCAACAGAGTCAGCCGTCTCTGGACTCGGACCTCTGAAACCATGAGTACCAAAAAAACTTTTCCTCCTCTAGAATGGTTCTTTTCAGTTCTTTTGGTTATAACATTGAAAAAGCTGACCCAAACAGCATCTCTGTCAGGTTTCAGGTTTGAACATATATTTACCATATGGTGGAAAATAAAAGTGACGTAAAAATAAAACAACTCGAAAAACTGAGGAGGAAGCGGGTTACCCTAAGTCAGATAATAAATTTGACTCAGTATCATATGCACTTCCTCCATGAATGGGGACTTTGAAAGGGCACTCAGACCAGATACCTGCAATATCATGTTTGTGAGTATGTTGATGTGCTGTTTCCTAAAGTTGCTTGTTACCAGTAATCTTATTGCATTACAAGTCCCTGACCTTGCAACCCAAATCGTTCAACATTGTCTATATCTTGCTCAGGCCATCTCTCTTTCTAGGCACAGTGAATAAGTAGATGGACTACACAAGACTGATCATCTCTCACTGTTGTTGTACTGAAACTGGTGCATTCCATGAGATGAAGCCATCTATAAACTAGGTTCACATGTTTTCTAGTACACAGGTCCCGGGGAAATCCCTTAGAGGCAGAAGGAAACAAGTAGGGAGTTCTATCTTGTTTAGCTTTAGGAATTACTTGTAATTTATGCTGTAGAGATCATTTTCAAATACCATATGGGCTTGCCATGCATACCCAAATCTGTAACTAACTGGGTCAAAAGACAAGCAATTGATGTTGAGCAGATTTGGAGGAAAGATACCTGGAGTTCCAAGCATTGGCGTTTAATCGTTTTGGAGCCCCAAGAGAAAAGCAAGCAATGTCCTCAAAATTAGAAAAGTTCTTGGCAAGGAAGCTATGGCTTTGGTCTAAACTCTGAGTGCAAGCATTCTGGCTGAGATATAGGCAACAAACCAAAGTTCCACATAATATCTTTTCCACCAAGACTCAGAGTAACCAACAGTGAGGGATTGCTGATAGGGGAGGGTTGGATGGGGATGGTAAAGCTGTTAATTCTTATTTGAATGAGCTGGGAGATGCTTCCAACCTTTGTTTAGGGTATATTTGAAATAGTGCTTTGCACTACAAAATAAATGCAAAAAAATATTTATTTTAGGATCTATTTCTCTCCCAATAATCCTAAAATGTTCAACAAAAGATGGATACCTTTGAAAGCGGTAGGAAGAATTCTTTCCTTAAGATGTGAAAAAAATACCCAAATATGTCCCATACTTTAATAAATTGCTTCTTCAGAGGACATTATATGTGGCTCCTATATTGTCAAGGAATTCAAACCTAACCTTTATGTTTCTGATGTTTTTTAATATATTCTATATATGTCTCTGATATTTTCTATTTTATATATCCCATCAATGAGATTTCATCTACAAAATGATTTGACTTGAAATCACTTTAATGAAGAAAATAAATGAAGTCCCTTTGGCTAAATCGATCAGTCACAAACTGAGGTGAGCTTAGATAGTAGCACTTTGCTGGTGAGCTGCTAGACTTGCTATGTGTAGATCTTAGAAAACTTCTAATATTTTTGATTTGCTAAGAAAGAAGACAAAAATAAAATTCACCAGATCACTGGCTGCACATCAGATGTCAAGGGATATTTTATTTGCTAGTAAAAACAGACCACTTCGAGAGCATTAGCTTCACTTGGAGTCACCAGTTAATTAAGCATAGAAAATCCACCAGTTTACAATGCTTCCATCTTTTGCACTTACAAAAATTAGCAGTTATATGGAAATGTAAGAAATGTGACAACCTCTGAATCACTGGAAGCCTTGGTGGTAGTAATAAGAGGGCTGATGCTGGTGGGAATACTCTTTCTTTCCTAAGAGAGGATTTAAGGAACTTAGGAACTGGGGAATTACTGGGGTGGGCAGGGACCCACTGAGAATGTTTACCAGTTATAACTTGAAAACCTCATTTCATTTCTGGCACCAATTAGCATCCATTATGACAGGTGAATTGAGTTATTTTTGGTTGCAGAACATTAATGTCATTTCAGAATAACAAATATATAACAATCCCAGCAACAAATGTCTAATAATCTGTCCATGTATCCATTCCCCATTGATTGTTCTCATGTGTTCTATTAACAAATGACTGTTGGTACATTGACAGATGCTGGAAGAAAGACTTAGAGCACCTTTGAATTTTCCTTATTGTCTTTGCAAACAGGAGAAACATTAGGATGGGTGCACACTTGCAGACACGGGCAGCCCCTGAACAACTTATGGTGCAGGATGGAAGGGTGGAAAACCATTTACTGGCAAAAAGTTTGCTTCAGGCAGCAGTAAGAATAAGGGGCTAAACAAGGGAAGTTGAATGTGTGTGCATGTACAAGTGTGTATTTGTGTGAATATTTATGTGTCAGTATGTGTATTTTTGTGTTTTTGTATATATGTTTGTGTGTATGAGGTTGTATATGAATACACATGCACAGTAATACAGGAACTCCAACACACATATGAACACACAAAATACCCATGTGTGCAAATATATATTCAAGCACACATGTACACATATTTACACAAACACTTCTCACACAGATGCATATGTAGAGATACACTAACCCACAAGTGCACATGCATGCACAGAAACCTATAAACACATGTGTGTATTCAAAGACAGAAATATAAAGATACATGTACAGAGGAAAACACCCACATACACAGAAACACACAAACACACTCATACAAACAAACAAATGTGCCCATATTCAAATGCAAACACACACAAACAGATACACAGAAAATAGACATACACACTCTTGAACACATTAACACAGAATTACATGAATATACACATACACAAACATACAAACAATGGTGTACACACAGACACAAAAAACACACTCATACACACAAACATATATGTATATAAACACAAAAATACACATACTGACACATAAATGTTCACACAAATACACACTTGTACATGCACACACATTCATATACACCTGTACACACAAACACATGTACTCATTCAAACCTACAGAAACACAAGAACACGTATATACACCTAAACACTAACACCCACCAACCTATACACAACTACAAAAATACAAACACACAGACATCCCTACACAAAAACACAAATTCAAACACAAACAGATAGAAACACAAATATATAGACCCCTAAACCATTACACAACATTAAAACTCACACCCCAAAACATACCCTTACACATGCACACACAGAAGCATATAAATATACACATAAACACACATGGGTATACACACTAACAATTTGCACACAAGCACACAAACACACACAGAAACAAACACAGAAACACACATACACATATAATATATAATCTCAGAAACACAGGAACACATATGTGCACACAAGTGCACAGAAGTAAATATCCAAAAAACACATATACACAGATGTATACATGTACCTGAATAGTATACCAGACACACACCAAATACAAAAAAACACATAGAAAAACAAGCACAAACACATAAGCTTTAACATACATGGACACACATTCACACAAACTCAAATGCACACATGAGCCCAAGCATAGATCAATATAATGAGATAATCAAAATCTTACTCAACTCGATTTTCCAAGCCAACTAGTTCTTCCCAATAAGTTTAAGGCAATTTTTAAAGAGCATTAACTTTTTTCTTGTCACTGGGAAATATGCCTGCATTGGACAAATGATATACTCATCCCTGGTGGACTAGATGTGTTGGTGTGATTTTTAAAATGCCACATTTGTTGCACTAGAACAAAAAAGGCACTAGGAGAATTAGAAATGTAAAGAGCTTCTTTGGATAAAGAGAAAACCAGTGCCTTTAGATGCTTTTAAGACCCAAATGTACATTCAGTTGCAAGCAAAACCACTTTGGTAATTGTATTCATTTTATGTAAACATGGTGCAACATCTTTTAAATAGTATACCTTTTAAAATTTTGCAAGATCTTTGGGTGAAATATTGTTCACATATATTAATGTGTTTCCTTTTAGCAACTGCTAAATATGCAATAGACATTTTATATAACTTTGATAGAGAATGAAATTTTAGTGTCATACAACTAAAAGAGATTCAGTGACTGCATCTTAGTATGGTTTTTCTATAAAGGTAATTCTCAGGGTATACTTAATAAAGTCATTATTACTAGACTCAAAAGGTTAACCTTTGTAGTTTCTAAGCAAACCGAAAACAAAATTTATAAATTTATAACAATGTCAATAGTGATGAAATATTCATGTATAAAAATTTTTAAACCTGAAGAATTCTTCAAAGTTGCTAGTATCAGTCTCCTTAATAGATAACTAATCTCAAAACTAAATATTAATAACTAATCAAAAAATTGATTTCTCAAAACTATTGTGATAT